AACCCACATTTCAGTCATTTGTGTAAGTCTAAATGGATGGACTTCACCTGGTACAAGAGAGGAATCCTGTTCTATGAAATTCTTTCTCCAAAAGATGTATTGGAGAGTGCCTGGACTGGTCTGGTATTCTACAAACAAGCCAGTAGCCAAGAACCCCAGAACTGAGTATTTATGTCTTAAATTCAGACAGAAGCCTTCCTGCACTTGGTGTGCTTATAGATAGATATTTCAAGTTCTCTGTCATGTCAAAAACACAGGTTCCCACTACAACATTATTCTTCACTCAGAGCACTTACAGTGTTTCTGTATACACCTTTTTTGCCTATATTCATAAAACTCATCGAAATTTCATTATCTTAAGTATCTCCACCCACTTGCTAAAGTGGCTCCCAATTTGCTGAGAGATTACAAAATGTCAAACACAGCACGACCACATAAGCCTCAAGAAACCTGAAAAGACAAATCTATCCACAATTTACAAATGGGAGTGGGAACGTACTCTGCAGTCTATCCATACTGAATTATGTCCAGCTTAATTTATTTGGAATAAAGAACAGAAAGGGGATTTAGATTTTCTCCCTGGTAGTTTGTGTATGCTGTTGTCCCTGTCAGGGCTCCCTCACCTCTACAAATCTGCTAAAAATCAAAGTTTATGGAGGAGAAGTAACTCAATATATTGAAATTTTACCTAGTGTAAACTACAAATATAAAAGCTTCAGGTGAAGCTATTGATTGTATCTTGCAGTATTCAAATCAAAAGTTTAGGCAGGAATTCTAAAAATGTGTCCATGTTCAGAAATATTTATCAGGAGCCAAATCAAATGGGATAAAAAGAGGGAAAACATAGCAGTGAATGTAATTATACACTGTAACCAATGCTCAAATGAAGTGTAAATGCTTCATTCCTTGGCACCGTGAGGCAGTCTTCTCACCAAAAGATCTTGATGTTTTCCCTTCAAAAAAAGTAATATCAAAACCAAAGTAATATCAATCACTGTTTGTCAGCTAGCCCACATGATGACTGACTGGAAAAGACCTAATGACACCAGCCACTTTCCTCTTGCTAGAAGATGCTTTTCTCAAGAGCTGCTTACGAGAATTAGCTCACTGATAAACCCTGAATGGTTTGAGGGGACAGAGTGGAGAAGAGAGAGGGTGAACAACAAGGAGTGATGGGGGCAGACCGTGATTCAACAAGCCTTTGAAAACTTGTCCCTCTTTCTACAACTGAATAGCTTAACAGCAGAAAAAAAATCTTGTGCACACCAGTACATCACCTGTATGGAACCCCATATGTTATTGAAGCTTACCTGCCAGATTTGGCACTCGGGGCCAGAGCCTTCCCTACCTGCAGAAAACAACATGACAACCACGGCGTTTGAGCGGTGGCCTGTGAACCGCGACGGGCACGTGCAACTCCTTAATATTTACAACTGGATAACCATGGCTCTTATTCATGCTTACAACAAATAAAGACAGACTTTATTTGCATGTGTGCATGCCAGCACAGTTTTTCTGGGGGCTTGTCCAAACAGGAGTTGCTCCTAATTAACAACACACAGGGACTCCTGTTCCAAATAAGAGACTTCCCCCTGTGTAGCATGGACTGGGCTCGCCTGGAACACTCTGCTCCTGGTTTGCAGTAAACGTGTCCAGAGTTAATCCGGAACAGTGTTACTTGTTGAGAGGCCGTTAGGCATTTTCTTTGCCAACTGTCAGAAAAGTCATGATAATAGAAAAATCAGAATCTTTTGCCTAGAAATGAAGAACCAGGCACTAACTAGGGAAGAAATCGCTCTCGCAGCTGCATGAAACTTGCATTTTGTTTTCCACCAGGGAATTTACATGTTTGGAAGTTTCCTGCATCTTTTTGTGAACCAATGGGTAAGACTTTTTCAAAGGCAGTGACTGCACAAGAGTCTAGCTTTCCTTTTAAGCCCCAGAAAAGGCCAACCCACTGGCTGAAGGCAGTAATGATGTCACTAACTGGACCACGGTTCGCAGCTGCATGAAACTTGCATTTTGTTTTCCACCAGGGAATTTACATGTTTGGAAGTTTCCTGCATCTTTTTGTGAACCAATGGGTAAGACTTTTTCAAAGGCAGTGACTGCACAAGAGTCTAGCTTTCCTTTTAAGCCCCAGAAAAGGCCAACCCACTGGCTGAAGGCAGTAATGATGTCACTAACTGGACCACGGTCCAAGCATCTCACCCAGCTCTTTCCTTTCCCTCTGTTAAGTGTAGTAGTTTGTGCTTGGCTAAGAGATCTTGCAGAACACCATCCAGGCCTGATTTTTATGCATGAAAAGACAAAGAGCCTCCTGCTCTTCTTGGTAATTTTCTGAATAATTCATTTACCATTCCCTAGGACATGCTATATAGTCCCTACATTTATCCTAGCAAGGCTCAGCAAAAATGTGCAGGGAACAGGTTGGTTCCTGACACTCAATAGACAACACGGTATGTGGACTTTCATACTGTGCTCCACTCATTCACCTTTTAACTAGTGAGATACCTTTCTGAAGCAATCATACACACACATACATGCATATGCGATGTATGTGTATATATGTGCATAGATATTTCTATATATATGAAATACACCAATATATCATATATATACAGAATATAAATACAATTTGTACTATATATATTTATATATATCACAGCTCGTTATATATACCATATATGTTTATATATGCATACATATCATACATATCACAGAATGCATCATTATAGAACAATATTTTCTTAATGGAAGAACAAAATACCAGTGAAGAGACCATTCAAAATGGAGACTCTTAGCAGAATTTACTAATTACTGCACAATACACCCTGATGCTGCAATTAGTCATGGCATGAAGTAGGTCCTGCCCCACAGTGCTCAGCCGCCACTGATGAGTTCCAGCATGCTCACAAGTTACTGCTGCGTTACACCTCGCTTTAGCATACACTCCTGGTTTCAGGGACTGTGTTTGCACAGCCCAGCTCGAGCTCTGCCTGTCAGGACGCACTGAACTTCTGCGGTTTTCTCACCTTAAGGTAAACCCTGAACAAAGCCATATTAGATCCCACGAAAATCAGTAGTGATATGCAGAGGAGAGAAGCACTGCAG